TTTTGTGGGAAGCCGGCTCGCCTAATGGGCGGCCGGCTCGTTTGTCGTCTTGAAGGCGGCTAGCTCGCCAAAGGGCGGCTGGCTCACCTGTCGTCTTGACCGCGGTCGGGTCGCTGAAGAGCGGTCGGCTTCCCTGTGCTGCTTGCTTGCCAAGACAGCACCCTTCAAATTTCACGCTTTTCCCTTTGCTTCAAGTCTAGCATGTTGGATCACCAGGTAAAGCTGGAAACAGCTATTCCTCAAAGGAACAGCTGGCGCAAGACTGCTTGCCTTGTTTCACAGTTATCCTAGACCCTCACATCTCTCCTTCAAGACAGGTTGCCTTTTGCCATGTCGTTGAAATGTTTAGTTTAGGCCTTGAATGGCTGCAATCATGACCTTCCAAACACCTGTAACGAATTGCTAGTGGCGAGATATGCCTTGCTCAGCAACAGAAGCAAAGCTTGAAGTAAAGCCTGAAGCAACTGCATGGCTCAACCTCGCCCTCAACCAGCTCAATAAAAAATTCGCGAGAGCTACCGCTGGGGGGCTACCCCACTGACGTAGGCCGAAGCCAAAGTTGAAGACAGCTTTTACACTGCACAGGGCGGCCGGCTCGCCTAAGGGCGGCCGGCTCGCCAAGCGCGGCCGGCTCGCCAAAGGGCGGCCGGCTCGCCTGAGGGCGGCCGGCTCGCCTAGGGGCGGCCGGCTCGCCAAAGGGCGGCCGGCTCGCCTAAGGGCGGCCGGCTCGCCTGTCGTCTTGCGGGCAGCCGGCTCGCCTAGAGGCGAGCCGGCTCGCTTGGATTCTTGACGACGGCCGTCCCACTTTAACGTGGTGAACTCGCTGTCGGGCGTCCAACTCGTAGTGCTTCTTGGTGACTTGTGATATCAAGTGAGCTTCGAGATGTGAGCGCAACAGGCGCGCTCTGTGTATTTGGACGTTAGTGAATAAAAACAAGAAAGAGATCGGACGAGCCATCATGAACACGAGTGCCTTTGTAGAATTCGGGTATAGGGATTAGAGGTGCTTAAGTTAATGCCGTCTAGAAGATTAAAATCACACCCGTGCGCGTTTTCTTTACCCGGTGCCGCTTGCCGGGGAGTCGCCTGAGGCCTGACAAGGCCAGGTCCACTCATTTTTGGAAGCAATTTCTTATGCTTACACGGCATTAACTTCAAGCAAATTTTCTATCTAGTTACAATAGAGCTTCTAGCCCCCCTCTGTATATAATTGACGGGGGGCTGGAAACCCGTAATAACAGTATTTATCATATGGACTCGGGAAAATACTATCTTGTGTTTAAGGGAACTTTCTACAAATTACGAAAACATACAAGCAAACTCGCCTGCGCCAGGCAGAAGGAACCTGGATTGTTGTTTCATGAGCATGTCGATATCACACAGCATCAGTATCTAGACTACCCTCACAAGCATCAAGAGCATCATCACCACAAGATAAAAAGTAAACAAAACAACAAAAGAATGAAAGGCGAACCTTGCATGTCCGTTTCTACATGAGTACACAGGTTCAAGAAAAACGTTGCTGGCAAGATCTGACGGAATGTATAAATAATAAAAGGCTGCTGTTCTGTGTATGATACATGTTCATGTACATGGGGGCCTGGGCGTGCGAGGGGGCTGGGCCTGGAAGCTAGGGCTGGGGGTTGGGAGCTGGGGCTGGGGGGCAAAAACTGGAGGCTGGGTTTGGGCTGGGATTGAGGGGCTAGGACTGTGGGGCGTGATGGGGTTGGGCCTAGAAGGTGGGAGCTGGGGCTGGGGCTGGGACTGGGGGCTGGGGCTGGGGGCTTGGGCTGGGGCTGGTGGGGGCTGGGGCTGGGGCTGGCTGGGGCTGGGGCTCACATTTAAATTTTTGAAATTCTTTTAATTCTTTAAATTCTTTAAATTTTTAATTCCGGACGATTTCAAAATTCAATGAATTTAAAGAATTTACCCCTTTTAAATTTTGAAATTCTTTAAGTTTTTAATTCCGGACGATTTAAAAATTCAAAGGATTTACCCCCTTTAATGTTTTTGAATTCTTGAAATTTTTAATTCTGGACGATTTCAAAATTTAAAGAATTTAAGGAATTTAAAAAAATTTAATTCCGTGGGCTGGGGTCGGAGGCTGGGGGGCTGGGGCTGGGGCTGGGGCTGGAGCTGAACATTTAAATTTTTAAAATTCTTTAAATTCTTTAAATTTTTAACTCCGGACGATTTCAAAATTCAATGAATTTAAAGAATTTACCCCTTTTAAATTTTGAAATTCTTTAAATTTTTAATTCCGGACGATTAAAAAATTTAAAGGATTTACCCCCTTTAATTTTTTTGAATTCTTTAAATTTTTTAATTCTGGACGATTTCAAAATTTAAAGAATTTAAGGAATTTAAAAAACTTAATTCCGTGGGCTGGGGTCGGAGGCTGGGGGGCTGGGGCTGGGGCTGGAGCTGAACATTTAATTTTTTAAAATTCTTTAAATTCTTTAATGTTAACTCCGGACGATTTCGAAATTTAAAGAATTTAAAGAATTTACCCCTTTTAAATTTTTATATTCTTTAAATTTTTAATTCCGGACGATCTAAAAGCCATTTAAATTTGTTGAATTCTTTAAATTTTTAATTCTGGACGATTTCAAAATTTAAAGAATTTACTCCTTTTTAAAGTTTTAAATTCTTTAAATTTGTAATTCCGTATATACACAGTATATATTAAGACACAGAGCAAGCCCTACGCCAAATAGAACCTAAAGGTCCTACGTACATATACATATATACATATATACATATATACATATATACATATATACATATATACATATATACATATATACATATACCAGTACATATACATATACACATGCATCTACATCTACATCTACATCTACATCTACATCTACATCTACATATGCATATACATATATATATATATACATGTACATATACATGTACATATGCACACATGTTCATATGTATATACATATACATATATATATATATATATGTAACCCGGTTTACAGCCGTTGGAGAGAAGTGCATGGTAAAGGGAATCTTGTCAAAGCCTCCAGGAACCCTCGACAGGGGGAGGGGGAGGGGGTTGAAGTTTGAAGCTTCTGTGCTCCTTTGGCTTACCTTTGGTTACCAGGGAATGGAAGCATGGTAGTATTAGTAGCTATACTTATAGCCCATTCCTCCATTCCCTACTAACGAAAGGTAAGTTGGGGCCTTTAACTTCGGGGCTCGAGGCTTCGAGGCCATCTCGGGATCTCGAGGGTTCGGGGTTGAGTGCTTTAGATTTAGGGTTGAGGGCATTGAAAGTCCATCTGGTCCGCAAGAAACAGGTGTAGGCTTGCGTTGAGTTCCCGGTTCGGCGTCTGGTCGGAGTTGCGGTGCTGGATCGACACTCTCGCACCGGGATATCAACCAGCCCTAATGTGGGGGTCGGTTTAGGAATATAGGCTCTTTTAATGCGTCGGCTCCGGGGCCAATTCCGAATCTGACAAAAAATTTGGGGTGTTCTAATTAATGCGTTTTTTTTTGGCTGGGGTGATTTTTTGGTGGCGGGGCTGTGCTATTTGCTGATGGTCAATCTTAAGGCAGCCACGACCTAAACCCCCACCCAAACCCCCACCCAACCCTAAAAACCCTGGCCCTGAAGCCCGAAAATCTCTTGCAGAATTGTTTCGCTTATTGGGGCGTCAGGAATGAAAATCTGTACTACTACTGTACTACTACTGTACTACTATTCTACTATACCTTGATTATTGGGGGAGGCTGCTAGGGTGAACCGCCGAATCGGGGATTGGACCCTAGCTCAAAAGAGGCCTCTCCAGTACTAAAGTTTGTATAAAAAATTAAGTTTTGGGTCGAATCTGGACCGACCCCCCTTTGGAAGGGTTTAGGGCTTAGGGTTCAGGGTTTGTTATAGGGTTTAGGAGTGTAGGATTCTTTAGGGTTTAGGGTTCGGGGTTTAGGGTTTCAGGCGCTGGCTTTATGCTTTGCTTATTGGGGGAATGTACTCACTGGCTTTATGCTTTGCTTATTGGTACTATTTCTGTACTATTACTGTATTACTACTGTACTACTGTGGTACTACTACTGTACTACTAGTGTACTACTGTACTACTATTGTACTACTACTGTACGATTACTGTACTACTATTGTACTACTGTACTGTTATCGTACTACTACTGTACTACTATTGTACTACCACTGTACTACTGTTGTATTACTATTGTACTACTGCACTATTATTGTACTACTACTGTACTACTACTGTACTATTATTGTACTACGGTACTATGATCGTACTACTACTGTACTACTACTGTACTACTATTGTGCTACTATTGTACTACTGTACTATTATTGTACTACTAATGTACTACTATTGTACTACCACTGTACTACTGTTGTATTACTATTGTACTACTGCACTATTATTATACTACTACTGTACTACTACTGTACTACTATTCTACTATACCTTGATTATTGGGGGGGGCTGCTAGGGTGAACCGCCGAATCGGGGATTGGACCCTAGCTCAAAAGAGGCCTCTCCAGTACTAAAGTTTGTATAAAAAATTAAGTTTTGGGTCGAATCTGGACCGACCCCCCTTTGGAAGGGTTTAGGGCTGAGGGTTTAATTAGGGTTTGTTATAGGGTCTAGGAGTTTAGGATTGGTTAGGGTTTAGGGTTCAGGGTTTAGGGTTTCAGGCGCTGGCCCAGACCCCCCCGACCCCCGACCGCGCAATCGCGCAGAACCGCAGACCCTGCACCCAAGCCAGCCCCCAAACCCCGGCACCTCCCAATTCCCTGCCACTCAGACCGACCCCTGACCCCTGTCCGGGGCTACCGGTTCCAAATTAAAGAGACCAAAACTTTTTGGTCGGGGGGGGGGGGGGGTACCCCACTATTAAACCGACCGCCACATTACAACTCTAAAGCCCTAACCCTACACGCGAACCCTGCACTCGACGCTAGAGAAAATCTAGAAGCCGCAGCACAGATGTTCTTGGTGCCGGACATTCTGTGAGCATTCGCAGTGCGCATATTCCTGCACAGAACTGGTGTGGACTCAAGTTCCGAAAGGCCCCAAACACTAACTTCCCGAATCTCACACCAGCGAGCCCAAACCCAAAGCCCTCAGCCTTATCCACAAAGTTCGTTCCACAAAAGCTACTGCAGAACCTGCCTGACGCTACTGAACGTGTCACGAATCCAGTGGCAGCTCGAAGTGCCGGCGGTTGTGATCACACGGCTAATCAACACGAGGAACAGTTAGCATCTGCACGCTCATTCTCACCACCACTGTTAGCATTCTCAACTGTCTCGCTCGCCACACTTCTCATCCTCCGTCAGCGATAGACTACATTATGCATAAGCTCGTTGGTCAGCGAACTCATCAGCATCACCACCACGGCAATCATCACACTCCTTCGTCGCCATCACCATCATCAGCAGCAGCAGCAGTAGCACCAGGATCAACCTGACAATCAGTATCATCATCAGGAATGCCTTGGTCCTGAGCATCAATGATTCGCTCGCCCTTTGATTGATGATCTATACTGCTTTCGGCCTACCACCATCACAATCATCGCGACTGCTGCCATCTGCATCCCAATCATCATCACCCCCACACATCGAGAAGGTGGAAGACTCATCATGACCAAGGGTTCAGGACATTTGAGGGCTTAGTCATCCGCGACACCCAGTGCAAACGGAACCTTGCCTAGGAGCCGCACACAACACTCCCCTGCAAACCAAACGCTTCAACATCCATCACATCCGCCTCCTCAAAACATGACATCTCGCGTTGCAAACAGCTTGCAACCTGCCACCATCCAAACCTGCAACCTACAGGACTTTAGATTAGCGTATATCTTACTTCACTATACCACGCCATACGACGCTGCTGTATGTTATTCAAAACCATCGATCCCTAGCGACTTCAAAAGTTTCGGAGCCTGGGATCGGGAGCTCAAACTTGCGTGTCAGGCTTAAGAAGCTTAAGATTAACGGCTGCAAGCCCTGTGCCCTCAACCCTCTCTCCCCTCGACTTTGGGGCTTGTGGCTTCGAACTACTCGACCTTACGCCCACCTCGTGGTAGTAACAGCCATGAGCGCCGCAGTCGTTCGGACCCGGCGAGTGAAGGAAGTGGCAGTGGGCAGAGTAGATCTCGGCAGGAAGGAGCTGGCTTGGCCAGAATTATTATTAGTATTATTGTTCTATTGAAAACCCCAGAAACCCTGAACTTCTCTAAACCGTGCGGATTGACACGATAGAAATCTGGAGGCTCTACGGATTGACCTGAGAGCTTAGACGGCGTGACTCGTTGTGGCAAGGTGTTCACTACCCTCTTTGAGGCCTTGCTTGCTAAGAGGCGTGTCCGGCGGATGTGGTGACGCTTCATGAACTGCCAGCGGACCGCTCGTGCTCTTCCTACGCTTCGGCTTCGCTTTGCGAATGTCAGTAAGCTTCAAGACAGGTGTGAGGCCTTCAAAGACACGGAGCTTCTTGGAGGAGCTCTGCGTTCCATCTAGAAATCAAAAATCTATACGACGCTCCCGGCACAGAACAGGTCATTTGCGGTGTGAGCATCCCGGAAGTCGGAGAGACAAGGCCCATAACCTAAAGCCTGAACACCGGGCAAAAACGCCTTCTGCTTCGGTCTACATCCTAAACCCGAAGCCCCTAAACCCTAAACCCCTGCCTTGTCCGCCATGAAATCGTCAAGGGTGGTACAAGGCGTCACGGGGGCCGGCGTACCTAGCAATGGATCTTCGGTGTCGGCCTTCGGCTTTGGGATCTCCGGCAAGGTCTGTATGCATGTTTGTATATATTATGTGTATGTATATATATATATGGATATCTGTATATAGGGGTTTAGGGTCTCAGGGGACAATAAACCCTGAGCTAGAACAGAGCGAGAGCGACAAGGATGGAACGAAGAAGGCTGCGACGAATCGTTACCGCAGCGATACTGCCTTCGACGATACATTGCCGCGGCCACCAGATTGTCTTCAGTCACAGTAAGGTTTTGGGGTGGTATGATAAATAGCTAAAAAATAACCGTAAGGAACTCCAAGGAATAATGTCGATAGTTATTTTGGTTTCTATATCAAGACAGCCCAGGAGCAGATTGTCGCGGGGTCGCTGGCACAGCAAGACGCGCGCTTCGCCACCCAGTCCTCCACAGACTAAACTCCCAGCGACTCCAAATTTCAACCAAGACAAAACTCCAAACGAAGCCCCACCATTCCACAAAAGCAAACCTCCCGAATCCGTTCCAGCACATGACACATGTAGCAACAGAGAGACACACACACACACATACATGTACGTAGGTACATGGGTGCCATCCATCCATCCATCCCTCCCATCCATCCATCCATCGATCCATGCATGCATCCATGCATCCATGCATCCATGCATCCATGCATCCATGCATCCATGCATCCATCCGTCCATCCATCCATCCATCCATGCATGATCATGCGTACATACATACCTACACCCGTTGCATGCATGTGTGTAAGTACACACATATACATGGGCAGGTAAATAGGTAGACACCCCACTCCTCCAGGGACTGTCCGTTCAGGCTAATGCCGTCGCAGCTGCCTGGCGAATGCTTCAGGGTTGAACGGTCTCGGCTGTAGCGATGCCAAGGAATCAGAGAGACTGCTGCCAGGTGGAGAGTACTTAAAGGAGCATGGGACTTAGTAACTACGGCCATAATTGAGGTAACTATACTTATGATTACATATAACCTCATAGGGTACTTATAACCCTTCTTACTAAGTCCCATGATCCTTCAAGTATCTATGGGCTTCCAGGGTTCGGAAGCGATTGAAAGGTCAAGTGACGGGCGAATGGTAAGAAGAATAATCGCAACAGTTACGATAATGACAACAACCGTAACGCTATCCTAGTAAGGACATGACAATACGTACAATGACAGAAAAAACGTACTTGCAATAACAGCAAAAGTGGAAGTAGTAGTAATAAGAGAAATCAATGATGACATTAATAAAAGTGAGATCAATGATAGCGGTAGTAAGAACAACAATACTAGTCCAACCAACAAACATAATCGTGATAACAGCCATGGTACTACCACTACTAGTCGTTACTAGTGGTCGTCGGAAGCAGCAACTGAATACCAAAACCTAAATCTGCCCCACCCAAACAATCATATAGATAATCAAAACCTTGACCCCTACAACCTACGTGCGCCTCTACAAGCCAAGTTACATGTCAGTACCAATGCGTATGAAGGTGACCCCAGAAATCCCTGCACCCTAACCCCGAACCCGAAGGTGCGGCCTGTCTTGGTAGCATTCTCCAAGGCCAGGTACGCATCAGTCCAAGTAATGCTAGCTTGTTCGCACGAGCCTCAGAGATGTTGGAGTTTGGGCTCATGATCTGGACCCTAAATTGCAGACTCTAGACTTTCAGCGTCTATGCAAAGACTTGAGGCCTGGAGGTCTAGGGGCAGGGGTGAAACCGACATGTAAAGTTCTAAACGCAACACCATAACACCTCGGCTTTTCGGCACCACTTGGGACTGCCACGGGTGAAGAAATCAAACCGACCCTCAGAATCGTTTGGGGTTTAAGGGCGCAGGGCCTTTCCGTGGTGATGGGTTTCGTATGGAGGCTTAGGGGTCAGAGCAGATACGGGCAAAAGGGCTGCGGATCCTTAAGCCCTCAGCCAGCTGCACACCACCCCGTCTCTGAAGCTCAAACGAGGCCAGCGAAACAATAAATGGCTGTAAGTCGTAAGTCGGCACATCCTTCTACATGCTAACACCTCGCCAGACTGAAGGCCTGAAAACCACAAAGCACTGTAGCAAAAAGACCTTGAGCCACAGATTCGGCACTGAACCCTCACACTGTTGCAGCAAATCACATCTAGGACGAAGAAGAAGACCACGAGCAAAAATCACGGTCATTCCTCTGCCTCTGCTTGATCTAGACGTCCATTTCAACAGTCCACAAGCTTTTTTGCAGTTAGGGCTTCATATGAGACAATGGGAAATTGCAACTGATCCCGTTTCGGTACCTCGTAAGGTATGCCCCTAAGTCCCAAACTCTAAACCCTCAACCCGGAACCCTAGAAACCCCTAAACCAAAAAAACCTACACCCCTAAAACCTATCAAATCGTAGTACCTAACGCCCCAGGAAGGCTCAGACAGAGACTCTGATCCGAGGACTGGGCCTTCCTCGAGTCCGTCCGTCCAATGCTTGCTCGGCAGAAACTGGGTGGGATCCTTGCTTCGTGACTTTGCGGGGGGAGGCCGGCCCTCGGGTCTAGTGACTAGTGGGGATATATAGGGTAGGGTTGGGGGCTGTAAGGATTCAGGGTTTAGACTCAGGGCTTTGAGGATTCAGGGTTTAGGGCTTCAAGGATTTAAGATTTCAGGCTTTAGGGTCTAAGCCTTGGCGAAAACCTTCAAGGATTTAAGATTTCAGGCTTTAGGGTCTAAGCCTTGGCGAAAACCCGACTGCTGCTCGCGGGGATTATCGCGAACCTCTTTTCTGGTCTTCTGATGGCAGCGATGGCAACATTAACAAGAGTGAGAATAATCCCACTGCCAATATCGTCATGATCATGCAACCCGCAGCTATGACTCCGTGAAACTCTGAAGCTCTGAAACGATGGAGGCTTCCCCTTATGGCGCCAAACAAGCTTGCCTCGCTTCTTCACCCGAACTCGAACACTCTCAGCTCTTACAAAGCCGAAACCATAAAGCTCGATTTACCAGAGAAGCTCTTTGCCCCCAACCTTAAAGTTTTATCCTCAACGGCGGAAGCAAGCTAAACCATCTCCAAACAAGCGGACACCACAACGCCAATACAGCGCAATGCCTCGCAGGGCGATACCACCGGGGCATCAGGCTCGCAGAGCCTGTCAAAAGGTTAAATTTTGTGGACGACCTGGTGCGCATCTGCAGCACTCTGTGCGAACTTTCCTGCAGTGCCATTTGAGGACCTCTAGTAGAAAGCAGCAATACCATCGTAAGAACCTCAACTCGGTTCTCAGCCGTTTGGGGTTTAGGCTAAAACTCGAATCACGAGAGCTTCGGCTGTTTGGGAGGTGGCGGTGGAAGCTTTTGACATCTTTAGAAATCTCGACCAGCGACGCAGCCGCAACCCATCGACTCCAAGGCGGAGAAACGGCGAGGTGAAGTTGAAGACTTCCGCAGTGTGTGTGCTTGGGCGGTTTAGGGTTTAGGGTATGGATTTTTCTGTCGCATGTTGGAAACATAGCAAAAACCACATGGAGCATGCAGGGGGTTCCAGTGTCAGCGGGGTTTCGGTTCTTGCTGGGACGTTGAGGAAACCTACCTTGCGATGTCTGACCAGCTAGAAACACTGGCATCAAACATCAACTCTAAGCTCTCATGACTCATGAGGCCTGCACGAAACCCGATGTAAATCTCTTCATCCGGTGAAACCTCAACTCAAGCCGTACCCTCGACAATTGCTAGCCTTCAAGCCTATGCTTCAACGTCCCAACCCGATAACCTAAACATCAAGGGCTTGCCGCTGTGCAGTTTCGGCTGTAGGCTGTAGGTCGACATCTGTTGCGCTTTGAACAACTGGGTGTGAAAAGGGTCTATGGCCCAGGGCATGCCAATGACCCTGAATCAAGCTCTGCATAGGCATTGCTCTTCCGCCGCCCCAAACACAACAGCAGTATAGATAGCATAGAGACCATATGTAATGTGTGAGAAACTCAAACTGCTTTCAACCCTAAACCGCCTAAACCCTCCCGAACCCAAAATCCGAGCTGCCTTTGGGGCCAAGATGTGCAGCAGTGGCGAGCGGCCACAGCGACTTGGTATGCCACACCCCTGCATCAGCACGGAGAGGCATTATGATGGGTTTCGGAGCTTCACAAACACGTCTTCCTGCAGGCTGGGTTTGATGCAACATTTTGGGACGTAGGTGCGGCGAGCTCCCTTGTTTCTAGATGGATCGGGATGCAGAAGAGATACTGATTCAAAACTGGTGATATTCAGGCACCCAGGGGGTGCCCTCAAAATTTCATGACGCAGCAACCCAGTGGGGAAGTTTGGGGTACCAGCTTGGGCTTGAAGATCTGGCCCGAAAAACTCAGAAATGAAGATGTAGGAGTGTAGGAGATATTGTACCAAGTCTTGCCAATTTGGGCATAACTGGGCCTTTACGGTTTCCTACATGACATCAATGATCACTCGCGCCGTTCGCTGCTAGCGCGTGGGGTTCTGAACCCAAAGAGCCTTTCGACGGTGAATAGGGTTTGCAAAAGTTCTACAGTGTCTACAGGTTCGCATTTGCGCGTCGAACAATTTTTTGGGCAGACCCCGTGAGTCAGAAGTCCAGTGACCGCCGCAGCTCGTGACATAACCCGCCGCGGTGCGCTAGGAACGAAAGGGAGGTAGAGAATGGTGCACTTGGCGCTTTGAGCACAGTCGAGCAGCAAAGCTGCTGGACTTGCGTGGACGGATGCAAGCGCTAATGGCGGTGAATCGGCCGTGAAGGTGGCTCGGACGGTGGCTGAGGATATTTGAGGGGAGTTCAGGGCGTGGTCTCGCAAGACATTTCCACGATCTTCCGCATGTCAACGCTCGGAGGGTCTTCGTGCAGATCAGCCAATTTGTCTGTGCGGCTTTGCGACGACTGTAGCGGCCTACTACATCGCACCCCGCCGGTGAGAGAAGAAAACATGAAGCGCGAGTCGAGGCAATCCACTCTCGCTGCGCTTTTATACTTTGCGTGCGTGGAGCTGAGAATGTCCACGACAAGGACGAAGACTCGCTTCGGACAAGACAATGTCCCCCAACTGCCATCTCTCCCTGCCAGGAACTCCCACACGACCAAGGAAGCGTCAAGAACTGGAGCGGAGGCGCACACATCGGATCTGCTCCGAAGATCTTGGGCTGTTTGCACACTCTACGAACGGCCGTGACTGCGAGGAAGTCCGCCTCCCTTCAGCTCTACCTTCGAGGATGCCAACGCCAAAATTTTTGTCAGCTCAATCTGCGTAATGTGATCCTCCAAGGCTACGAACTTCCATGCTGGAACCACTTCCACTGACCGAAGCGAAGCAAACACCGGAGAAACTCCTGTTGCATCAAACGCCGAAACCTTCAACCCGAAACCCGACACCGCCCCACACCCAGGCCTAAGACCGTCATATTTACCTTCTACAGCTCTCTGTGTTACTCGGGGCCCTGGCGACGAGCACTGGCCGTACAAAACGGCTGCAGCCACTTCTACTGGATCCGCAGAAGCCACAAACCTCTGATCATCGGGGTTTTAGCGCTTTAGGAGCTTGGGGTGACATGGTGTTGAAGGCTTCAGGGTTTGAGGCTTCAGGATTTCGGAATTTAGGTGTACGGCTTGTAGGAATTCGCGTTGAGGATGCAAAGCTCCTAACTTACTAACAAGGTCCATGTCAGAAGAAGCGCCAATGTCATCAACATCAGCACCATCATCAGGAGTCGTACACAGACACACACAGAGTACATGAAGCAGCAGCCGCAACGATAACAGTGGTAGTGCTCATTGTAGTTGAGTCGTAATTGTGCTTGTAGTTGCAGTAGCAGTAGTAGCAGTAGCAATAGCAGACAGGACCAGTGGGAGCAGTAGTAAGAAGTAGTAAGTAGTAGCAGTAGTGGCAGTCGTAGCAGTAGTAGCAGTAGTAGCAGTAGTAGCAGTAGTAGCAGTAGTAGCAGTAGTAGCAGTAGTAGCAGTAGTAGCAGTAGTAGCAGTAGTAGCAGTAGTAGCAGCAGTAGTAGTAGCAGTAGTGGCAGTAGTAGCAGTGGTAGCAGTGGTAGCAGTAGTAGCAGTGGTAGCAGTAGTAGCAGTGGTAGCAGTGGTAGCAGTAGTAGCAGTGGTATCAGTAGTAGCAGTAGTAGCAGCACTAGTCGTAGTAGTAGTAGTAGTAGTAGTAGTAGTGGCAGTAGTAGTAGTGGTGGTGGCAAAAGTAGTAGCAGCAGCAGCTCCTGTTGATCCCACTGTCATTGACGATGCTGCCGTGCAAGCATTGCCCCCAGCCAGCTCCAACCACTGTGACAAACAACGTTTCTACGTTCAGCGTCTTCATGCTCACTGTTATCTCGACTATTCCTCGGTTGTTTTGATTTTCAGGTAGATCTCCACTGCCAGTGTCATGGCCACGTCTACTTGCCCGATTAGTGTTATTGTGACGATCTGCGTGTACTGTTTTTGCTCTTGCCAGGGACACAAATGTTGGTGTCTCTGTAGCTGTGGTGGACGGTGCTGCAGGTGAACATGCTACGACTGTGTTGGTGGACAATATGCTGAAACGAGCACTTGCTCCAGTAGTTTTCATCATGAAACGAGCACAAAAACCCAGACCAGTAGTGGTAGTGGCAGTGAAGCGATGGCACTTCGTTGACATACTGGCCGACGGACAGTCAGCTGTGTAGTTATCTTGGGGGTCATCCTACTCCTAGAAACTTTCGTAGCGATAATACTGATACTGACTACCTGGCGTGGTGTTTACTGTTGCCACAATTCTTACTGCTCGGACGGCTCAGATTTGCAAACATGACACGAGCGCATGTAGTCGTCGCAGAAGTCATGCTCCCACACCCCACCGGCCCAGCCGCAAGCCTGTCCATTGCGAGGGCTTTGCAAAGGACTTGCAAGAGAAAAAAGCTTCATGTCGGAGTCTGAAATGGCTCTCGTGATGAACTGAGGGTCGAGGCCTGCTCGTTGCTGCAAACGCACGACGACCCGTCCAAGCTCTCCCTGAACCAGCCTCGAACTGGCCATGCTTCGCTGCGAGCATGAGCATAGCCGCAATTGGCAATAGGAGTACAACAACAGCATCTAATGTGTCGGCCAGAAATACTGGATGCTGTCAAACCAAGAACCCGAAATTACAATTCTGGAATGCCTGGCCAGGTGGCAGCCAGGGCCAATCGACTCACAGGAGTTCTTGTTGGTGTTCTTGTGATAGTCGCTCAGCTTGCACTTCTTGCTCACCCCCTGTTCGACAGGACTGAAGGGGGTCACTGTATTGTTGACCAGCTTGACAATGGGAATACAGCAAGGGAATCTGGTCATGGTCGTGATTATAGCAGCAGCAGTCGTACTACTACGACGACGACGGCCACTACTGCGACTACTGCGATACTGCAATTACTACGACTACTACGACTGCTACTACTGCTACTACTACTACTACTACTACTACTACTACTACTTCTACTACTACTACTACTACTACTAAGGGTCTCGGCTGGAGCACGAGGATGAGTTAGAGCGCGGTCCTGCGAGGGTTCATGGCGGTTCCACTCTGGCTGCTTGCACTGTATCAACTTCATAACTTGAGCTCTAGCTGCTATCTCTGGCCGCACGGGTCCCAAATCCCGTGGCTGACGATGACGACTCCCATTCTACAAGAACTTCCCACGTCAGCAGACCCGAGGGTTGGTGATTGCTCCACTTCAATCCCAGGAGCTCCGAATGGAGCGAAACATACTGGAAGGGGAACCTTGGATGGTACTCAGTGGAGCATGAGCAGGAAGCGCGCACACAGGCGTGCGAAGAGACGCGCGGAGCAAGCCGGAGGCACCTGGTACAGAGGTAGTTGGCACAGTGCCGTTGCACTGGGCGTTGCACCGACCACCGGACGACCAAATCAGCCAACTGCTACTGTGAAATCACCGCCTTGTGGCCGAGCTCGACCGCGACTTAAAGTGATGAGCTACAACATCGGGGGATTCACATCGGAGGTCTATGACACCTTCGTGGACTGGCTGGATACAAGATGCCAGGCGGATTTAGTCCTCGTACAGGAGACTCACTGGGGACTTGGCAAAGAGGAACGAAGATGGCTGCTGCCTAACTGGCTGGTGATTTCGTCGCCAAATGCTGGCAACCGCTACAGTGGAGTGGCGGTCTTTGCCCGTCGCAGTGTGTTTGAAGACAACCAGATGAGCCATGTCATATGGATTCCTGGGCGACTGCTGCATGTTCGCTACGACTCTCCACGAGCGAAACTAGACATTGTCGTGGGCTATCAAACAGTGCGACAGAAGGCAAGCGATGTCAAAACACAACAACGACGGCACGCTTTCTGGACCAAACTTGGGCTGCTACTTCAGGGCATACCTGCCCGGAACGTCCTGGTTCTGGGAGCCGACCTCAACACGGCCTGTCGACCTTTACCCGGGCTGAATGGTCGTGGTGTTCTGAAAGCAACCAGGAGTCCCGATGAAGAACTGGAGGAGCTACAGAGAGTGAGTCAGTTGGTCACCCTGAACACATGGGGTAGGGCCAATCCTGGCAAAAGCCGCACGTTTGAGAATGGCGAGACTGCCTCGCAGATAGACTTCGTCTGCACGTGGAGACATTTTGCGGATACGGAGGCCAGGCAATCTTGCCCCCTGGCACTTGATCTGGTGCCTTGGCGTAACGGACCGAAACATTTTCCGGTGATGGCTAGCATTCCTTGGATTCAGGGCTGGAAGCTTCGGGCTAAGCGAGTGACTAAGCCAGGGATCTCTAAGAGGGATCTACTGCAAGCAATCCAGCACCAACATCCCTCTGCAAGTGAACTGCGTGTACATCTGACCTCAGCGATTGTGGAGCTTGGACCAAATGGCACGATTGAGGAGCTCAACACCAAAGTGCTGCCTGTCTGCCAGCGCCTGTTCCCGTCGCGACGGAAGCCGACGAGGCACGCACAGTCGTCAGCTGATAAGCAGGTCAAACAATGCATAGATGACATGTGGCATGCGCACTCTCGCCTGGCGGTCCCTGGACCGCGCATGTCCTTTATGCGCTGTGCTGAGGTGGTACGCAGGAGGGCCACGTTTCAAGCGGCTAGCAAAGCACTGAAAGCAGCCAGTAAGATGAAGCGTCGAGAATGGTTCGATGCTCAACTAGAAAGGGCGGAACATGCTGCCTCCAGGCATGACTTGAGTGCGGTGTATGCTGTAATCAATATCCTTGCTCCCAAACGGAAAGTTGATAAAGTCCGCATCCGTTCTGAACAAGGGCATCTTCTTAGTGTTGAGCAAGAATTTCGCGATATCTACAGCTACTTTCAAACTGCCTTTAGTCGTGAAGTGGAGTACAGCCTGCCAGACTGTCCTGCGCCGCTAGTCTTTTCCGAGGAAGAGATATGGCAGGCTATTCGAGGTCTCAAAGGAGGGAAAGCCGTACCATCTAGTAGTCTGCCTGCGGATGTTTGGAAAATGGCACCGGTAGAGCTGTCAAATCTGTGCATGGGCATCTTCAACCGAAGCTCTACGGAAGGAAACAGGTTCCCCTCAGAGACCACGGACTGCCAGCTCACGCTTCTGCCGAAGCCGGGCAAACAAAGCCGTCGTCCCAAAGACCTTAGGCCCCTTGGAATCCAAGACCCCAGCAGCAAGGTTCTTGCCAATGTCCTTAAGGCTAGGGTTCTAGAGGAGATAGGCCCCTTCCTTTTAGAAAGGCCCCAGTTTGCCTACTGCCCAGGGAAAGCCATAGATGGTGCTCTTAGTCGGGTAGCTGCGCATTGCACCAGAGTCAGGGAACGACTGCAGCAGGGATCTCTAAGCGTGCATGCCCGCCGGGAAGGCCAGCGGACTAGTGGTTCCTTTGGGGGTCTTATGCTTAGTCTTGACATGAGTCGTGCATTTGATGAGATACCTAGGCGAATGCTGGAAAAAGCTTTAGTGCACGCCGGCCTTTCTGATGAACTGTGCCACGCCATTTTGTCTTTGCATGAACAGTGCAAGTACGAGGTCCGTCATGAAGCCTACACAGGGGTATTCGACATGAAACGCGGAGTCAGACAGGGGTGCTCACTCGCACCCCTGCTGTTCGCTGTCTTCAGCTGCTGGATCTACGACGTGATTACCCTTCATACGGATTCGTGCTGGGCCGACCGGCTCATGACTCTGTTTGCAGATGATAGCCACCTTGCCTTTGAAATTGAAACCCTAGAGGACCTCATTAGTGCCCAGCGAATCATTAGGACGGTGTTTAAGGTTCTTAAGGATTCGGGGATGCAGCTTAATCCCAGTAAATCTCGGGTAGTCTTGGGTCTCAGAGGCAGTGCGGCTCGCAGGTGGATCCGCAAACACACCTGCTATGTGGACGGCTCACCCGTCTTGAGTCTGGGCACGCCTGCGGAGCCTCTGTTAATCCCCCAGGTTCCCTCTATGGTTTATCTAGGCATAGTGGTGTCCTATACCCGATTCGAGATGCAAACCCTCGCACATCGCATTCAGGCTGCAATGCATAACCGACAGAGGCTCCTCAAACTGTTGCACAGCAAAAGGATTGCCGTCAAGAGTCGCGTCAGACTCTATGCTGCCTGCATCCGCAGTACGCTCTTCTATGGGCTACATGCAGTAGGCCTGCCCGAGGATGTCCTGAGACGCGTGGATGCCTTCGACTCTAGATCCTTGCGAGCTATCTCTAACTCCCCGGCCCACCTGACACATGAGACTACAATTCATCTCCGGAAGCGCCTCGGGATCCAATCGCCACGGGACTATTTTCTTGGGCTGCTCCAGCGACGTGTGCAGAGAAGCGGCGATCCTGCCAGTAGGGAAAGATTTCAGGCAATACTTCTTATGCTAGAGCAAACGGATCTGCCGTCAGCCGCCGTGTCGGAGGAGGTCCCCCTCATGGAGAGTGGTGGAGTCGCCTGTCGAGTGTGCGGTCAAATTTTTATTAACAGCCGTATCATGCGCTCGCACAAAGCTAGGAAGCACAAACTCCCAGCCCAGCCTTCCCCTAGTCCACCCACCGCAACTGCACCGCAGGACCCGCCTCACAAGCCTAGTGGAGAAGGAGTACTCGCAGCTACAACGTACAATCTCTATGCCACAGACGGGATGCCCACGTGTAGACTGTGCGGAGCCACGTTCACCAGAGTGGAGGGTCTCAAGAAGCACATCAATAGGGGGTGTAAGGTTCTGGACACTCTGCCAGTTGCCTCCGAACAGACTGCATTAGGAGAGGACCCCACCCAAGTAGAGGTCAAGGTAGCCTCTGCTGGGGAGGAGCTCGGGGAAACACAGGTCCCCACTCCTCACGGGGTCCATCCGGCCGTTATACCGGACGCGGATCGGCCGTTGCTGCAAGTCCTGGAATTTCAGCAAGCGCTTGAACAGGGATGGCGTAGTGTGCTTCAAAAGCCCTCCTTCTGCTCCTCGCTGAGTCAGTACTGTGCAGTCTGCCATCAATGGATCTCCACAGTGGGCCCGGGATGCAAACAGCACTATCGCACCATGCATGCACAAGAGTACGCTCTCGCTGCTGATGCTGTGGCTCGTGCCTCCAGCCTTGGCCTAGTACCTGTGAGCCCCTGCCGCTATTGCGGCCGCAAGTGCCTTGACCCTCGAAAGCATCTTAAAGGCTGTGTGCCAGTCTTTCAGGCCTCCCTTGCTGGGCTTGTACATGCCTCGCGACCCAAGGTGAGGGATGAGCGTGTCGATGGAGGAGGACGAGAAGGAGAAGCGAGCAGCGGTCTCCAGGCAGGAGCTGATGGCGGTCTTTGGAGCCAAACCAACCGAAGCCGAGAGGGACACCAAGGCGGCGGAGGGCCAGGAGGAAGAGGATCGGCCATCCAAGTGGCAGAACACGGGAGGCAAGGGCCCCTCTCGAGATGGCTGGTCAGGAGGCGGATGGAGAGCTCAGAAGCGGCACTGGGAGCAGGACAAGAACAAGCAAAGGTCCCAATCACCCAGATCGACCAAAAGCTGCAGCACTGGGTCACCACGATGACCAGGGCGATGCTCCGCCACGAGTCGGACCTTGCCCTTTACAGGGCAGATACGGGCTTTGTGATATTCGTCGATACGGGCGCCCACTCTTGCTTGCAGCAGCTCAAGGATGCCAGCGCACGCTGGCAGGAGATGTACACGCAAGGGAAGGTGACCAGTTCCTTGAAGCACTTCCTCATGCCCCGCATCTTCAAGACCCTTCGAGAGTCCATGGAGGCCCTGCAAACGGACGATGCGAAAGCCGCCCGGTGCAAGGAGGCGGGATGGGTCATCGAGGGCACCACAGCCATGAACCCAGCGTGGAAATATCATGTCTGGGATCCGCAGCAGAAAAAGGAGATCCAGGGGCCCACCGATCCGAGAACTCACATGGAGATCTTGCAGGACCTGGATGTGCTCCAGACTCGCCTGATGGAGGAAGGGGTGCTGTTGCAGTTCAAGACCACAAAGGACCTCGAGACCCCGGACGCCGAGGTGATCCCCTTCCTGGCTACCATCAGCCTCAGGTCGCAGGCTGCGCAGGAGACCCACTTCATCCTCTCGAGACTGGTCGGCTGCGCCTGCTGCAAACTGGTGGGGATCCGCATCAAGCCCCAGCGCGGCAATCGCACGCAGATGAGCCGCCAGGTGGAACAGGCATACCTGGCGGTGGATTTCTGCGAGTGGAGCAATCGGGACCCGTGGTCCCGAGGACGGGCCTAGGTCGGCCCATGTCCTCTAGAAGGCCAGCGCGGAAGGATCTCCCAAGCATCCGAGGCCAGTGTCAACTTCCATCTGCCAGACTGCAAAACCCTAGGAACAAGCAAATTTGTTATGCAAATTCAGTGCTGCAGGCATGGTACTGGATGCATGAGCTGGCCGGCTCCCGATCTGGACTCACAGGCATCGCAATGGACTGTGTACAGTTGCTACTGCAAACTGGGCCCGTGAGCCTATTCGAGGGTACCGTCTCGAAGCGTTTATTTTGGGGCTGGCGCGATGTCTGTAAGCAGCATGATGCAGGTGAATTTTGGACGCAGCTGATGACTACGCTGCAACCACGTTCCCTTGCAGGACAGTGGCAAGCTAGGCTAAGTGAACCCGATGTTATCACTGATAGTGGTTCCCTACACATGCCAGTGCCCCTCACAACTGTCCGTAGCTCGCTGCAAAGCATGATTCAGGCGTGGCATGAACAACATGCGATACATGGATTAGTGAATAACCCACCGGCCATTTGCCTAAGACTGTGCCGATATCAGGAAAACATGAAGAAGAATCGAACGTCGGTGCTGCTCCTGCCAGGAGCCACAGTGCACCTGCCCTGCTTTGATGCCGCCTCTGACGGCACAGCAGTCACGCATGCAGCCTATCAGATAGGGTTCGTTCTTTTTCACTTAGGTGACGCTGTTACTTCGGGTCATTATCAGGTTGCCCTTAGTGTCCCCAGGATCGACCCCAACCGTGACTCGGGTTCGCCTACGTGGTGCTTCTATGTTTGCAATGATGATAGCCTTCCTAAAGTGGCTGCCAAGAAAGACTTACGGGCCTTGCAGGCAAATGCCTATCTGGTGGGCTTAATCAGAGCTTAGCACAGAGCACTCGGAGGACTCTCGGGAGACACACGTTGAGAGTCCTACCGGAGCGACTGCACTCCGAAGCGAATCCTGCATGTCGCCACAGAAGAAAGAATTTCTCGGTGCAAGTGATGTAGCTTTTAATTTTGAGTCTTTTATTTGCGTCATTCAATTCCTGCAAGTTCGTCAGTCCTTGTTGATCCGATGTCCGCAACAAAGTGATGCCTTCGCAGCATCTTTTCTTTCGGGGGCGGCTGTAGCCTGGAAACGTGCATGCATACGCGCCCTTCTCTGCAGTGGAGCCTGGTGCTCAGTGCTCAGTGCTCAGTGACAGCTGGCCACCTGCCTCGCTTTATACCTGCCACCGCTTCAGCAGACAGACTCCAGTGTCTTTGGCTCACCATGCAGGTAGGCAGTGTTGAAGTGATAGACCTACCGGCCGATGTTCATGAGGACATGCTGCAAGCATATCTGCTGCTCCAGACAGTCTGCAAGTTGTACACGCGGGACACAGGCCACCCACCGCCGGCTAATATAGGCCAGCTGGCGACGAACGATCTGTTTCAATGGGCCCAAACCAATATTTCAGAGTCCTCCAGAACCGTTCTTTACAAGTATGCAGACACCCTGGATGCCTGTTTTGGAGGGAGCCTGCACTCTGCCTTGCCATATCCTTCATATGAGGAACAGGCAAAGATTGGCTATGCAGAAAAGTTTGCACAGGAACTCCTGGCATCGGGAGGCGCTACACTGTGGCACTCGGCCCGACTGGTTGCTGGCCTGTTAGAGACTGAACTGCCACGTCAGCGGTTCGCCGCTGCCCTTCGCATCGGTCGGAGCGCTACTTTCGGTGTCTATGGCAAGCATCAGTTTACAGGGATTTGCCGCCAGACGTATACGCATCCCAACACCGCCCGTCTTCTGAACGCTCTTGTACTTCGAGTCTGTCCTTGGCATCGCTGGAGCACCATTGCTCTGCTGCTGAACTTTCAAACTCCGGTGCATGTGGATGCTCAGAACGGTCCAGAGCCAAGCCTGGTTCTTTCTCTTTCTGCGCACGCAGGAGGTGAAATATGGGTGGAGGATGCTGAAGGCCGGGACTATGTCGAGCACCAAGACCAATGGATCCGCGGAGAAAAACACTCCCTGCAGATGCAAGCGATTCGCTTTTATGCGAATCGGCATAGGCATTTCACCTGCCCCTGGCAGTGGATGGATCGGCTTGTTCTCACTGCTTATACTGTGAATCGCTGGCAGTCGCTCTCTCCGTTCCATCAGGAAAGACTAGAGGAGCTGGGTTTTGTACTGCCTGAGCGCCGACACACACAGCATGTACCTGGCAGCCTGCCCACTGTCATGAGGGAGGGATTTGAATAGGTGTGGATGTTTCTGTAACTGCACTGAAGCTTTTCCTGGATAGCTCTGTCGACGTCACCAGTAAGGTGTGTCCGAATGTACAGGTCAGAGACCTTCCTTTTTGCCTGCTCAGGTTGTCAACTCCGCTAATAGGCACCCCCCCTTTTTCTGAGCCTTTGATCCCGACCTGCAATTGAGCGCAAAAGCCTGGTCACACAGTCAGCGGCTGCACCCGCTTACCAGCTTTACCAGCACAGTGTATCTGCCAAACCCCCACCGCCTCAGGTCATGGCCACCTGTGCGACTGCCGGATGTGAGCGCTCGGTGCTACCGGGACAGATACTTTGCTGCCGAGATTGCGGCCTAGGCCTTGGCATGCACAGTCGCAGATGCGAGCGCCGACTCTCTCATATTCTCTGCACCACGGTAACGACCTGTCTTACATCTGGATGTCTGCACTTGGCCTCCTGTCGACATACTCATTGCTGCTCAGTCTGTCATCTCACGCAAGGAGTGAGCCACAAGAAGAGCTGCTATAGAAGGCAAGGAACCCTTCTTCGCCACCAACAGGCCGGTGGCAGCAGCTCTATGGCTCTTACCACGATGGCAAGCACTTCTGGAGTACAGACGGAATGCATCACTTCAAGGACGAGGATCAATCTCGAAGAGATGGACTAGGACGATGCTGTATGCTTCATTCCATCCAAGGGAACTGCCAACAGTGCAGTGCTACCACAGAGTAGCCGGACTATGTCTGTCCCCCTACGTCGAACGCAACTCTGTGCGAGACGAGTGCAATGCAAATACTACTACTACTACTACTTCTACTACTACTACTACTACTACTACTTCTACTACTACTACTACTACTACTACTACTACGACTGCGACTGCGACTGCGACTGCTACCCCTACCTCTGCTGCTACTGCTACTTCTACTGCTACTAGGACTGGAAACGGGATCTTTGCTGCAATGGTGAAGCAGGAACAGCAGCGACAACCATAACAGGTGCAGACAACCCCCCACCACCAAGAACAGCGAAAGCAAAAGAGCAGCGACAGCAGCAATGGCACCGGCGCTGACACCACCAGCAAGGCCAGCAGCAACACGACTGGCACCAGCACCAGCAGCAGCAGCAGCAGCGGCACCAGCACCACTACCATCACCTGCACAAGCTGCACACAACCAGACAACCAGCAAGCTCACCGGCGAAGCACTGCACGTGAGCCGTGAGCGTGTGAAAGTGACCGGCTTTGGCTCCACTGAAAGCACGAAGCACCTCCATTCTCGCTGTGGGCAAGAAGTCATCATGCGACTTGCCTTAGGAATCCGGCGCCTGTAATGAGGGCTTTAGACTTGTGCTGCTCTTCCAGTGGATGCGTTGCAAGCTGCAAGGGTTGAGGAACAAGGTCGTGGTGGTGGTCGTTGTGGTGGTCGGCGCCGGTGGGGGAGGCGGAGAGGGCGATGGCCTCAAGTGCGCACCGAAGGCATTGCATCGTTGAGGTTCTCAACCGCTCAACTGGCACCCCAAAACCCAATGCCGCCCATGGAACACTCAATCCGTGGTTCCGTGACCCAAAACCCTAAACCCCTCATCCCTGAATACCTCCGGGCCCGCCCCCGCCCGCCCGGAGGGCTGGCGTTCTTTGGGCGAAAGCAAGGGAAAGCACGCGGCACGCGCCTGTTCTTCGATGCCAAGCTGGCGTCCAGGTCCAGCGTCCGAGTCTTCGCCTTCTCCTCGGAGCCCTCCTCGGCCTCCTCGGACCGCTCACCTCGCAAGGGGAGGGGGGGCCCGGGGGGAGCTGCGGAGCTTCTTCCAGGGGCCTTTTTGGGGCCAGCCCAGGGGCCTTCTGATCTACTCTTACTCTCTTGAGAACTGGCACAGCCTGGCAATCTGGGGTTTTAGGCACGGAACACAAGCGGTGGCGATAGAATAGTTCCTGTCCACTTCATAGTTCCCACGGCCACCATCGCTGGTGTCATCCTCATCATCGTCATCCTCGTCATCACCGTCATAACGATCAGCTTCATCGCTATCCTTTCAGCCTCAACCTGATCAACATCCTCATCATTAGCGAAGACCCGCACGGCCTGCCACGTAGCCAACTTGTTGACCTCACTGGAGCAAGCGTCGGCTTCAGGATGGAGGCTATGGCGGCTACTGCCCGAAGCTTACGCTTCTGTCTTCGGGCCCTTCGGGCCCTTCTGGCCCTTCGGCCTGAGCTCCGCAGATCTGGTTTGTTGGGTTTTTGCGTGGAGCTAGAGTTGAGAACACACCATCCACTCGTGATGGACGCTTGTTCTTAAACTTGATACTGCTAGCACGACGAGCTCGGATTCGCTCTTTGTGCAGTCAGGGTTGTGACCGCGGCTTTGCCACAACGTCCTTGGGGGTGTCCTTGGAAGCCTCCAAAATGCTCCCCTTGAGACTTCGGCGCAACGGCCTTCCAGAAACAGCGGAAGTCCTCCACGCTCTTCCACGCTCTTCCGCTGGTTCAAATCTCTGCGGGGAGTCGTCGAAATTTCTTGGCTACGAATGTAGGTCGGAACGTCCGCCGAAAAGCACCAAGTCTCAGAGGATCCGCTGGGCAAAAAGGCTCGACAGCAAAACACAAGGGAGGCTTAACTTGCGGCCCTGAGCTCTGATTCTGAAACCTGAACTCCCAGACTCCCTTTAGTAGGCTCTAGGTCGGATGTCGCGCACGAAATCAGACTAGAAACCCAGCAAATGCGCCAGGGCCGATGGAACTCGGAGGACTGGGCTTCCTGGTCTATAGGTTATCTGCAAA